ATGGAGGTTCCTCAAAAAGTTGAAAATAGAGCTACCCGACGGCCCAGCAATTGCACTACTGGGTATTTACCACAAAGATACAAATGTAGTGATCCGAAGGGGCACGTGCACCCCAATGTTTATAGCAGCAATGTCCACAATAGCCAAGGAAAGAGCCCAGATGTCTATCAACAGATGAATGGATAAAGATGTGGTATATATATAATGGAATATTATGCAGCCATCACAAAAATGAAATCTTGCCATTTGCACTGACGTGGTTGAACTAGAGGGTATTATGTTAAGCGAAATAAGTCAATCAGAGAAAGACAAGTATCATATGAGCTCACTGATACGAGGAATATGAGAAACAAAACAGAGGATCATAGGGGAAGGGAGGGAAAAATGAAACAAGACAAAACCAGAGAGGGAGACAAACTATAAGAGACTCAATCTCAGGAAACAAACTGAGGGTTGCTGGAGTGGAGGGGGTGGGAGGGATGGGGTGGCTGGGTGATGGACACTGGGGAGGGTATGTGCTATGGTGAGTGCTGTGAATTGTGTAAGACTGATGAGTCACAGACCTGTACCCCTGAAACAAATAATTATTATATGTTAATAAAAAAAATTAAAAAGAAAAACACTTAAAGAGTTGGTTTCCATAGGTTCTTAATGACTGTAACTAAAAGGAAGGGTTCTGTGGTCAAGTAAGTTTAGGAACCAGGTTTAACACAATTAAGCATTTTTTTTTAACCGTGGTATTTTTCAGCACCTTTGTTATGTAAACATGCATGATGAACACCCAAGGAAGAATTTGCTTTCTAGTATTTGATCCTATAAACCCTTTTCCCAGCGAATGCTATTCCTCAAGTAAAGGAAAAACAGTATTCCCAAACTCTGGTTCAGGAGTTAAAGACATTTTTGAGTCATGGTGCCTGATCCACTAAGGCAGTAATTTATGTTTTAATCGTTTTTTATTTTTCCTAAGTAAGCACTCCGCTGAATGTGGGGCTTGAACTCACAACTCCAAGATCAAGAGTTGCATGGTCTACTAACCCAGCTGGCCAGGTGCCCCCTAAGGCAGAAATTTAAAGCATGGTAACTGATTACCATACAGACCTCGGAGGTCTCAAAACACTCCCTTTTAAAAACTAGTATTTTGTAAAGTGGGATTGCAGGAGGCAGAATAGTGTACGGTTAAAACCCAGACACTGGAGTTGGACAGACCCAGGTTTAAATCTGTCAGGCAAGTTATTTCCTATCTCTAAGTGATCAGTGTCCTCAGCTGTGACATGGGGTTGGTGGGGATATTTACCTCCCCATTAAATGAGGTAATGCCTGGCTCTGTTAGCTATTGTTGATGTATATATCCCAACAGAGGGGCTAGTATTTGCCAACAGATAAGGAATCGGTCATTTTGTGCCCAACTGCTCTATCAGTCAGAGGCCTTGGTACCTCTAGGATGCAGTGGAAAAAGCACTGGAATAGGAGCCAACATCCATGGGTTTTAGAGCACCTTTGTGCTTAACTGAGCAGATGAGCAGAGAGGACATATTTACCAAGATTAGCACACTTCTGTGCCCAGTTTTCTCGTCTGAGAAAAATCAAAGCAGCAGCACACCTTTCCTGCTTGTCTCTGGGTTACTGTAAGGCCCAGAGAAGCTTGTGTACATATGATTTTCTTAAACTGGAAAGACCTACTGCTGTTGCAGACATAACTCCTTGAAAGTTTACTACAGTCCAGATAGCGTACTTGGTTGCCGGAGTCCAGCTCCAGCCGGGGTGTGTCTCTCGTAGGAAAGGACGGCATCGGCGAATGAGGAGACACAGACACAGGGTCAGGTTGCAAGCATCTCCTCCTGA